CCACAGGGAACGAATACGTGTCAACCAGTAACTGGGAGTTGCGTTGCTGGGGCTTGGTAAAGTACAACCTCGTACCCGAAGTGCGTAACGCTGCTGAAGAAGCTGTGCCAGTAATGTCAAGGACGCATAAATTTGGATAACCTCGGAGCAATACAGTGTTCGAAGCTATTGTATTCGATTCGATATGAGAACTACGTAGTATGCAGACTTGATTCCGTTTCTACTTGATCAGACTAGAAAAACTTGAGCTTGGAGGTGCGCGAAACTTGATCTTGACCATAATGTCGCTCCGTTTGCCCTCGCCCATTATAAACAGCTCGAACGTCTGTGAGAGCTATGGCGAGCTGCGCCTTACCCACCGACGCGTCGATTTCCGTATCCCACCGTAGAGCTTGGGCAGCACAGCATGTCAAGTAGCACGAAGTGTGGAGCGGGCTTGAGTCTTCTGCCGTTGTCAAGTTCTCGAGATCGATTCTGAGGCAGGTGCGGACGTGGGAGCGCAGACCTCCATCTTGGCTGCGTCTCCCAGCTCACGGAACTCGCTGTGGTTGCCGGTAGGTAGAGAGGGGGCTCTCACTCCATGACGCGCTGGACGGTTAGGGATGGAAGGCTCGACATCACCGAGGCGCTGGCACCTCGAGGATGCTTGCCAGTGCCATGGCAGCCACTGCGCTGAGGCTCGACACCTCTTGCAGTGTCTTTGCGTCTTCCGATGGCGAATGTGATCCAATCACGAGATCATAGAAAAAGTACCCTCTGATCAAATCCAAGACCTGTTCTGCACAAGACCCCTTTAAAAATCTTCCCAAGTCCTGCGATGGCTGCCTTCAAGGACATGCTGCTTGAGCCTGCGAAGCAAGCAGCCACCTCGATACGTCTCATGACTTCGTTGGCTGGCCAAGCGCCCCAAGCTAAACTCGTCACGATCCCCGCATCGAGTTACGCTGAGAAAGCTCGGTGGGCTCTCCGCGTGGCCAATATCTTGTTCGTCGAAGTGAAATGGGCTGGTATACCTGTCTACAGTGCCCAAGGGGGGCCGTACGGTGCCGCTGCTAACGGTATCTTCGCCGCAGAAGGTGATGTCGGTTGTTGCGCATTGCCACGGGCACAGTAGGAAAGTTGGAACGCTGGATGGCGGGGCCTAAGGCTCCGGGATCTTGGTTGCTGGAGCTTGGAGAGAAGGAGATTCAGAAGTGGATGGTTCTCTTCTCAGTACCAAGCCCAGCGACCACATTGATCCTACATGCATTGTATAAATACACTAGCTACTTCAGCTTCTTATTCTACTAGGATCCTTGCCCTAGACACGAGCATAAGACAGAGGTCCTCCGACACTCCCCCTTGCTCGCGTCACGCTGATTCTGCGAGCAATACTGTGGCTCTGCAAATTCGTCACAAGCTACGAACATCGCGCTGCAAACATCGGAGCGCGCCAGCACAGTATCAACCACGTAACATCGCGGTGAGCTAATGCCTGCTCTTGCACGTTGCAGCCGCTTTTGGTGAACCATCACCTGCCTCACGACTCAAACGAATCCGCTTCCAGGCAACAAAGGCAGTATCCGACTGCTTCATTTCAGCTGCAGCTCCCCCTTGCTCGTTGCGGCGAACGACGCCAAGCAGAGAGCGGAAGAATTCAAACTTGACACGTGCGAGCGGCTTCGTCAATATACCGGCAGTCATTTGGTCGGTTCTGCAGTGCTGCACTTCAAGTAGCACTCGATCCTCGAGATTTCGCACGTAGTGAAAACGATTCTCTATGTGTTTGCTGCCGTTGTGCTTTCCTGGCTTCTTGGACAGCGCAATCGCAGCCGAGTTGTCGTACCAGAGCTTCGGGGTGTCATACCGCCACCTCAGCTCGTCACACAGACCACGAAGCCACATGATATCGCGCGCGCCTTCATTCATGGCGATGTACTCGAACTCCATCGTGCTCTGGGCATTGAGCCCTTGCTTCCGTGACCCGTAGGAGACTACACTGCCATTCACCATCGTGACATACCCACTCACGGACTGGCGGTCTTCCTTATCGTTGGCATAGTCAGCATCGCTATAAGCTTCCACGCGCAACAAATCCACATGGGTTGAACCAGTCACCACCATACTGAGACCAAAATGCTTGGTGGCTTGCAGATACCTGAGTACCCGTTTAGCTTGCGCGTAGTGGACAGCACCGAAGCACGCCATATACTGTCCAAGCCGACGAACAACGTGTGCAATATCGGGCCTTGACCCCGACACGAGATACTGGAAGGCTCCGACAATCTCGCGATACGGCAGATCACTCGGCTCAGGCGCCGCTGGGCCTTCACTAGCAGTTTCCATCGTGGTTGCCTCGGGCGTCGCAGCACCATGACAGTCGTGGATATGGAATCGTCGCAGGATTTCTTCAACGTAGTTTGTCTGACTGAAGAAGACAGTGTTCTTCTCACGATCAATGCTGACTTCCACCCGAAGCAGGTACTTGACGGGACCGAGCTCCACGAGCTCAAATGTTGCAGCCAGCTTCCGAGCAATAGCTTCACACCCGACTGCTCTCGCCCATTAGCAGCAGGTCATCCACATAGACAGTTAGGAGCATGACAATCTCCCCCTTCTCGAGGAGGGAGTAAAGGGCATGATCACTCTCCAGACGCGTGAACCCGAGTGCAACTAGGTGTCGGTCGCTGGACAGCGAAATAAATCGCGACGCGAATCGTGTCGAACCTAATGACTGGTGCAAACGTCTCGTTGTAGTTTTCGCCGAACTTCTGCTTGAACCCATGTATGACGAGCCGAGCCTTAAAGCGCTTGACGAAGCTGTTCTCGTCCTTCTTGATTCCAAAGACTCACTTGTTCGTGATCACAGCAGATTTTCCAGCAGCACTTCTATCTACAACCTGCCACACACCATGCTTGCGCAGCGACTCGAGTTCTTCAGCAATAGCGGCCAACCAGTACGCAGCAAACTTCGACCGAATTGCCTGCTTATACGTCGCTGGCACAGGTACATCTCTTGAATGCAGTCGAGACTGGGTTGGCGAGATAAATTCACACTGCAAAACTTTAACCAGCTTGTGCGCAACATAGTGGAGCTCAAAATTATTGAGTCTCGAGTTCCTCTTACGCTTTCTGCCAAAACGCGAGACTCGGTGTCGCGCCACAGTATCGCTGTCAGCAAGACTATCAACAGGAGCAGTCTGCACGTCTACGCCTCCACGAGCACCAGGTGCTTCCTCCACAGTAGACACAGGACCAACAGGCTGGGGAGCAGCAATAGCAGCAGGGGGCTGCTCAACAGCGACAGACTGGCCAGGCTGCACGAGAACACTCTCTCGCTCAGAATCCAATCGAACAACGTCCTCAATCTGCATCTGCATTGGGACCAGCGGCGCTCTCGGCGGGAGCTCATGGTCACCGTGATTGTAGGCGTTGGCTAGCAGTTTCTCCACGTATTCACGAGCCACCGTAAAGTCTTCAGCGAAAATCAACTTGCCTCCGCGATGAGTGGAGACTGCACCACGCGCAAGGTCTAAAACCTTATAGCCATGAGTCGTTGGGGAATAACCCACCAAAATCGCAGTGCCCATTCTGGACGAGAGCTTTTTCTTCTTGGACCGTGCTCCACTAGCGATGTGATAGTAGCAGAGACTCCCCCACGTTCTTAGGCACGACACTAATCACCAGACAATTTCTCGTGGGGTGTCAGACCATCGAGCACTCGGGTCGCCGTGACATTCAGCGTGTAGACGACGTGAAGAGCAGCTTCACCCCACAGTAGATCGGGTAGGTTGGTCATGTGGAGGAGTGCACGGACCTTGGGCAGCACGATCCCATTGGCGCGCTCGACGATACCGTTCTCTTGGGGGGTGTACGCGTTGGTTGTCGTCAGCTCGATACCCTCTTCAGCACAGAAGTCGAGAATGTCGTTGTTGTCAAATTCGCCACCCTGATCCGAGTGGATTTCTTCCACACGCCAATTCCGTTCGCGATATTTGACGTGCAGGCGATTAACAAGTGCCGCAATGTGGTTCTTCGCTTCACTCTTCTGCCTTAGCAGGAAGAGCCATTTGTATCGGCTGAACTCATCGACCACAAGTAAGAAGGAGGTACACCCATCGAGTGTGGGCTCGTTCACACTGCAGACGTCCACTTGAAGGCGTTGAAGCGGTCGTTGTGCGTGCTGTCGTCGCTCAGGATATGTCATCCGCACCTTTCTCCCGTGCATACAGGGAAGACACGTTGGCGCAGCCTCCGCTCCGCTTGTGCTGATCTGTAGCCCTCTTACCACCTTCTGCTTGCCCATGTCGACGATAGTCGTGGCACTCGCGTGTGCAAAACGCTTGTGCCACACCGCCAACGGCACCGACTTCTTCGGGGTCACAATAGCGCTGTATACAACGGCTTGCTCTCGCACTTGGTCTCTCACCGACCAAATGCGATACAACCGATTGACTTTGACGAACTTGAGCCTTGTTCCTTTCTTGGTCAGGAAGCAGACCGATTGATCGGCGGACATCTTGACGAAGTAGTTGAGCTCCGTCTGCATGTAGTTCTGCGAGAGTAAGTTCGCAGGAGCATCGGGCACATAGTACACATCGGAGAGAATGCGCGTCTCCTGCCTTCCAGTGACTTCGTTCACGATCCTGAGCTCCACACTGCCGACTTGATTAATGTTTACCGTGCCGCCATTGGCACACAGCATTTCGGGGCCGTTACTTATAGTTGATATCTGCACAAACTGAGAGAGATCGTTGCAGACATTGGCAGTCGCCGCACTGTCAAGACACCACTCAACCACGTCAGAGGCGCACTTCGTGGCCGCACCGCCGAAGGTTGCCATCAGCGCCGTCGGCCCCGTAACATCGTGCCGTCTACCGCTTTGCCCACCTGCCCGAGCCGACGAACCTTGACCGCCTTTGCTCGGAGGACGATTGCTTGCATCTTGGCTTGTCTTCTGCCAGCAGTCGCGATACCAGTGACCAAGTTTACCGCACTTGGAGCACGGCCGGCGTTGCATGGCGGCCTTCACAGAGTGGCGTCGGCTCTGATGCGCTCGTTCTGATTCTGCCGATGACCCCCTCCGTGGCGATCGAAATTATTGCTGCTGTGGCTGTGCCCAGAAGAAAACTGGTATACTGGATTTGAGTCAGACTGGACACTGCGAGAACCAGAATCACTCGAACCACGATGCCTCCGGCCGGAGCACGCATATTCTCTTCCTGCTCTCGCGCCAAAAGCCGCCCACGCACTTTACCAACCTCGAGCTCCCTGGCCTTCATTCTCGCACCCACTAGCTCCGTGCTGAGGTCGGGGAATACCTCAAGCGCATTGGTAAGGAGTAGTCGAGCAAGTTCAGCGTCATCAAGCGGATGGCCAAGCGTCACGAGATCCTCTTGTAGCTGCATGATCGCGTCGATGTAGGTGTCTACGCGCTCCCCCTTGGCCAGCTTGCACACAAACATTGCGGCCTTGATCAGGATGTCGTTCTTTGCGGCGCTGCCCGCATTGTACTCTTTCTCGATCTCCTGGAATAGAGCCACAGGGTCGCAGCTCACCAACAGTCGCCTGTAACGACCAGCCAATCGGGGGCCAAGCGACCCAGCGATAACAGCTTGGGCTTTGAGCCAACGCTCTTTCCAGCGACGCTTCTTGGCGGAGCTCCAAGAGCTGTCGAGCACCACTTCCTCGGTCACTAGGGACCACAGCTTTTGAACCTTGAGTTTTAACTCGATCATTGTGCGCCAAAGCTCGTAGTCGTCGGCGCCAGTCAGCTTGGGGACTTCCAGGCTGGGGCTGTCCAACTGAGAGGAGCGACTCCTCTTCTTCTTCTTCGAGGAGCGCTTCTTCTTGCTGGAGCGCTTTCGCTTAGAGCCCTTCCCGTCATCCGAACTCGCCGAGTCAGAGTCGGTGTTGGACGAGCTCGAGTCGGACTCAGAGCAGTCCGAGCTAGACGAGCTCGAGCTCGAGCTCGCCCCGTCGCTCCGCCGCGTTGCCGAGGGCGCAGGTGACGACGGAGATGAGTCACTCGGACGATCTTCGTCTTCAGAACTGTCATCCCGACGATTCTTGGTACCATTCTGAGCGTCCTCTCCATGCGAATCCTGGGCCGACTAGAGACCCTGTTTGGGCTCATACCTGTCGGTTGTTGCGCATTGCCACGGGCACAGTAGGAAGGTTGGAACGCTGGATGGCGGGGCCTAAGGCTCCGGGATCTTGGTTGCTGGAGCTCGGAGAGAAGAAGGAGATTCAGAAGTGGATGGTTCTCTTCTCAGTACCAAGTCCAGCGACCACATTGATCCTACATGCATTGTATAAATACACTAGCTACTTCAGCTTCTTATTCTACTAGGATCCTTGCCCTAGACACGAGCATAAGACACAGAGGTCCTCCGACAGGTGACCCTGACCGACAGCGCAGATATCGTGAGTTTCTGTGCCCAGAAGTCCCCCGTGCTACGTCCCAGTGAGCGTACTCAGGAGCTGGAAAGTTACTTTGATGCTACGCTCGGACCTCATACTCGCCGTTGCGGTAAGTTCCACGAGAAGTTGTAGCTGCGTAGGATTGACGTTCCTAAAATGACATGTGAACACGGTCCGCCATGATCTTCTTCTTCATCGCGTTCTTCATCATGTACGGCGTGACGGGAGCTTTCAACGATTCATCGTCGGAATCGTCCAAGAACATCGCGTGTCTGCTGGCCCCGGTCGGACTCGTCTTCGGCATCAACTCGCTCGCGTCTTCAGAGACATCACACGTGGGGATTTCGTTCGCAACCGCG